AATGCCCTATTAATGTTTTGAATATAGTAAGTTGTTTGCCTGTTGTTTACTGTCCATGGTACATGAAGAGAATAGATCATGCTTAGCAAATAAGCTGCTAGGACATTTAGTATGGAATAATTCAATTGAAATACATTTCATACATAAAGACAACATGTGATAATTATTTGTAGTCATTCTAACTAAAGTACTGTCCTCAGAAGAAATAATATCCCTTCAGTCATACACTCTGTGGCTTCTGTGAATGACCCGTATTAATTCAGTTTCTAGAAACTGGCTCTTTATATTAATGTTGGTAAGTGCTTCCATGCTAGACTATTGAAATAAAGGGTATTACATCATTGTCCAAACATGTCTGCTTAAATAAAAAGTATTTGTTTGCAAAAAATATATATATTTTAAATCTTTTACACAACGATCAGCGTGCATGCCATTTTCCATTTCAGACTAAGCGTACATTTCAGATGTGGAAAAAGCAAGCATGTTGAAATAATTTGAGGCATGGGTATAGTCGGATCAGTCTTGGTAATCCAGAAGGGAGGGGTGCCCAGTGTATTATTACATTTCGTATATTATTTTTCAAGAGATGGATGCAATCAGTCATCTTCTCGCATATGGTTTGAAAAAAAAAAATTGTCTTGCTGGCAAGTAAACTGTTATTTAAGTACACAATCCACGGTACTACAGAAACAGTTTTGCCAAACTTGTCCAAGTATTCTCACATCCTTAAAGATGGTATAAATATCATTTATAGCAAGCCGTTTACTTCAGACTATATGGAATGCCTTCCTGCTCCCCTGATCTAAGTGTCCCAGTTTGCATTATGGCCTTTATTGCTTCTGTTTGATGGAGTGATCAGTAAAAATTTAATGACACTATAAAATAATAAAAATGTCATTAATTTACCACGGATCTTGGATGCAGTGGTTGTAAAGTTACATTAATAAACAGAATATTTTTTACAACAAAAAGCATTGTTACGTGGGAACGTATAAATAACACACATAAATTTAAGAGCAATTTTACTGTTAGCACACACATTATTATGGAATAGCCAATAAGTGTATAAAACATAGTATATAAAATTTTATGAAAATATACTGTGCACATCAAAAATTCAGCTTTTATCTAAGTGCAGAGAAAAGCCATTATTGTGTGCTTACTGTTTCATTGCTGTTCTTTCACAAGATCACAATTTTATATTTGTTTCTAGTCATTTGAAGTTTGCAGCCTTTTCAGAGGTAGGGGCTACTGCTTCTTTTTCCTTTACTCCTTGCTTCACTAAATCATTCTTTTACCTTCCACATGTGAAGAAAGAATCGATACTTTCTGCCAGAAAGTGACGGAAAAGTTGCTAATTTAATGCAAAGCTAAAAATAATGCCAAAGGGGTTGAAAGGCTTGCTTGGTGACTCTGGAAATAAGGGATAACTATCTAGCAGTCTATCTGTCATCACTGGGGCTGCTCCATCACTGACTGTGATAATATGTGAATATGATGGATGCTACAGCCTTGTGGCTCATAACATTTAACATTCATCAGCTCTCACTAACGGGGGCTTTATAATTTAAATATCTTTATTTAATATGCAACATCTACCTCATACATCATAATTTCAAAGCACTTAGAGAACCAACAGTCCTGCAAGACAGTTGAGCAGACTTTAATTTTTTCAATAACTTCTACGTTTTCTGCATGTTTGTGACTGACAATGCATAAATAAGTGCCTAATCATATCACAGAATGGAAAATTAAGATTTGGCTGCTAAGAAGAATCTTTTTTCTCTTCTTTTTCCCATTTTAAATAAATGATTATTTTTACCGTGTGTTCAACATATAAAGAAGCACAAAGGATCTGAATTGTGCTGGGAAGAGCTTTCAGTTTTCTAGTGCAAACTCCAATTGACTGTGTTGATCTAGTAATGAGAAAGGGTTGTCAATGTCATGTCCTAAACCTTTTTTCTGAAATTTAAATGGGAAAACTTAATGTGACTATATAGTATAAGCTCCATAGGCAGTACCAAAAATAAGTTCAAAATAAAGGTCCAAAATGCTTTTTCACCAGAAACAAAATGCCTGCACTGACCATAGCAGTGCACGTCATTACAAACTCACCAAAATTTTATGTTAATATAGGTTAGGGAGGTATCCATGTGTTGATAATATTTGGTGTACATATGTGCAAATATAATGCACATGTAGGTAACATATTTGTTAGTGCAGCTATATATAGTAATTTACTTTAAATGAAGGTATACCTTTTTTTGTTCATATAGGTATATTATGTACAGAATCAATCTTCCTCTCAGTCCTTGCTCATACTAGGAAAAAGCTGTACTTTTAGAGGATTTTTAGTGCAAGTAACTATTCTCTTTAGGATGAATTCAAGATGGGAGCAAAGACAAATCCCATGAAAATGGATTGGAGCCTAGTGAGACAAGTTTCCTCTCTAATAATAAATTTCATATGAATTTGTTGTATTTCATGGAATTGTAAAGGCATCTACTAAATAAAAACATTATTAATATTGAGGAACATTTTTCTATTTTTTTACAGTTCTCTGAATTTGTCTAAACCCAATGCAAATATTGAAAATTTTTTTACAAGCACTGTGAAGATTATTTTCAGTAAAAAAAGCAAGAAAATGAATGACTTTAAAAGGCATTTCAAAGACTTAAATATATCTAGCTTTGTTAGAGCATTTATGAATTAGAAGGAGCAGGTTATGAAATAACTATAAGTACATCTCCTTTGTTTGACAAGAGCAGGTATTTTTATGGTATAAGTGCTTTCATTTTACTGTTCCTGAACCTTATCATGTAATTTTCCCTTTACTCCTTCCATGTCAAAATATTGATATTCTTTCAGAAACTTTCTTTTCTTCTTTTTTTTTTTTTTTTTTTTTTTTTTTAACAGAATATTTTCTGGTAAAATCAAAGAGAATGAATGACTAGAAAGATATTCCAAATGTGCATATTGATATGTAGCAGGGTCTGTTGATTTTTACAGCAGAAAGGTATTTCTCCTTCTTCTGAAACACACTTAAAGGCTGTTCTTCCAATAGAGCAGGTGCTGTGTTAACATCCTTAAGGAAAAGCTTTTAGTGCAAATAATTTGGAAGAGGCAATATATGTGCCCGAAGCTGTTTTCTTAGTAGTGATCCTTGTTTTTATCTCAACTGCAAATCAGCCCTTTGCAATGGAATGCAGAATCCTTGACAAACTTATTTTTTATTCTGTCTACCAGCAAAACAGATCCCATCCTGGTGCTTCAGGTGTATTGTTACATTGCACAAGATCTTTCAGTAAAATGTTGCGCCTCTAGTATTGCAGTGCCTTTCTGCAGTCACATTTCATTTGTAACTCTTTATTTTCTTGTGAGTACCTTTGTATATGTAAGCTCCTTCTTCAACCAGAGATTTTACAGAAGAAATTAAGTTAAGAAGTTAACCAAATAAAAAATGCAGAGTTATTTTGTTTGACAAATGGAAGATTCTGAGGAACTTTTAGAAATGCAGTTAGTACCTGAAATGCCTCAGCTGCATGTTGTAGCAAATCCAGCATCAGGTTGTGCTTTCTTGTCTTCCTCTGCAAATTAAACAGATAATAATTTAAAAAATCCATGGCTGAAGGAATCAAAAGAACGAGGAATCAAAAGAATTCCTGAGTTGTTGGCCTGGTGGGGTTTTATTACTGAAAGATAATGATAATAGAAAAATAATCACATTGGAAAGCAGAAGTATTTGGAGATGGAGCAAATGAGCAGTCAAGGCCATCAAGTATGTTTTGTCCTTAAGAACATTTCCAAGTTTCTAGACATCTTGCAGGAAAGAAACTCCTGTTTTCTTCTTATGTCTAGTATGCACAGCACAGAACTAGGTCATTGAACAATAGGCTGAACAGCAATCAGCACTCTACTTCTGCATAATGCATTAAGTATAACATGGAGAAACTGTTCGTAGAGCTGAAAGCTGGTATTTCATGTCTGTAAATTTGAACTGACATGACATTTAATATTGTTTCATAGTAATGAACAACAAGGTTTCATTCATTCACAAGTACAACATAATGCCAAGTTTAGTCTGAAGAGGTAACAACAAGGCAAGAGGGAAATCATGCTATGTTCCTTCAAATGAGAACGCTAAATTAATGATAACCATTGAACGCTTTGCTACTGATACACAGTACTACAGAGACTACTATTGTGAGACACTATTACACTGTCATTTATAGAGCCCTTGTCCAGTAGTTGACTGAGGAACTGGGTTAACACATAAAATACCTTTCAGTTTCCACTCTTTAGTTCCAGGTTTCCTATGGAGGTCTCCAGCTCTCAAAAGCTTTCTGTTTTTCTAGGAGGAGTGTGCATACTTTTTCTTTTTTTCTTTTTTTTTTAATCTTCTTAGGTACAATTTCAATTCCTAGACAAAATAATAAAATCAGTTCTATCAACTATTATTCATTCTTTCAAATACTTGTCTTTGAAAACCTCTTGCATAAAATTCAGACTTGTGTTTTCTCAGAGGTATGAATGCAAATGAATCTCACAGTGGGGAAAAAGTGCTTTTTCCAATAAATTAGCAGTATATTTTAATACAAACTCTTCTTTCAACTTCTGAATTTTCATGTCTCCCAAATGTCAATTGTCTTTTCCAGTTCAAGTTAGAAAATAAGTGGAAAGGCAAAGTGAGCAGCATCGATCAGCACTGTTTGCTGCCAAGAGTGTTTTGTATTTGCATGCACAATCATTTATGCATTGTGGCAGTGCAGATCAAAATAATCTCAAAGTTCTGTATATGTTTCACATTTAAAACTGATTTTCATAAATGCAAACATTCAGAATCTGTAAAAAGTTGTCCTTGAGTTAAAATTCCAATTAAAAGTACTCATTATTTGTTTGGATTTTAAAAGTAAGGCATGTATCAGTGCATACACATATGCACAGGCATATAATGACAACTAACCTATATGGAGCATTAAGATGACTTCTGTCTTTTCCAGGAAAGAACAAGGTTTGAAAATTTAGGCCCACAGTTAACAGGGAAACCCAGTGAAGATGGGAAACTGGGCCCTGGTGTCATCGATCTTACAAGGCCAGAAGATGCAGAAGGTGAGTTGCAATTTTGACAGTGGGTTATTGAACACTGCATCACAGAATGGTATGGCTGAAATGCTGCCAGTGTCATAAGTACTGTCTAGCTTACAGGGTAACACTTGAATGATCTCTGTGTTTCTGTGAGATTGTAATGTATGTCCATAGCAAAGGGCAGATACGTGAAAAGGACTGTATAACTCTCTCAGCCCTTGTGCAACACAACTATTTTTTTCTCTCAGCAGCTGTCAGTTAAATGTTTACATTTTATACTGTTAATACAAGGGTGGGAAACACTGAGAAAATTATCTCAGCGAGGCAATATATACATATATATATTTTCACCGTTTTTTAAGGATTTAGCAGCTTTGAAGAAAATTAGAGCCCTTTAAGAACTCTACCCATCACTGCACTCACAAACTATTCAAGATATATCAAGCACAATTTTATTGACAGGCAGCTGTCAAGTGATAATGGGAAAATATTTCACATTTTCTATATGCAAATGTCTTTTTCATGATATAAACCATCAGTGCATTTGCACTCATTTCAGTGAGAGTTCTATATATCAGGCATACAGTGTCAAGCCACTGGTGGACATCAGTGTTTATCAAGGCTGAGTTTAATCTCTAGCAGGGTTTCCATGCATGCTCTGGAAATGGATGCTACTGGTGTCCTCTCTACCCTATGATACACTAGAAGACAATGTGTAGATAGATAGGAACTCTACCAGTCACGGTAGTAAGATGAATGTACTATTCAGATAGAATATTATGTAATATTTTGCTCCCTCAATTTACTTGTTTGAAAATAATTTTGCTCTTTTTAACCTGACAAGCTAGTTATGCCACTGTTCTTGAAAAAAGGTTAAAACATCTCTAAATTTTCCCATTAATATACAAATATCTGATAGGTTCAAAATTTGCCTTTTTTCTTGGATCAAAAGAATAGGACCAATAAACTTGTGATTGTTGACAAATAGGGTTATTTTCAAATGATTCTTGAAATACTGTGACAGAAATTTTGTGATACAAAGGTATTAATATTTTCTTTATAGAGAAATATTTCTATGAGCATGTTTTCTGTTCTGTCTATCTGTAAGCCAGAAATAAATGGTCCAGGTAAGGTCTCACAAATTGTCCCTTCATTTTGAAGTCTGACAACAACAGCACATGAAAATGTTACCTTTTCTTTACTGTATAGGTAGTATGCCTGTGGTAAAACATCTTAGAGCCCTGATTCTCCTTGCTTGCCAACTGATATCCATTACCTTTAATCAGGTTCTAGGCAAAACAAAAAAGATGAATTTAAAAGTATTTTGGGCAAGGACTTGTATACAATGGAGCAGATGCAAATTCAGTTCCAAGATGTTCCTGTATTGATTCACCCATACAGAGTAGTTAATTCTAAAATTTAGTTTAGCAAAATATTCCTACTTATTGGCTTAATATCATGATTAGCTTATCACATGGAACTGACACATTCACCAGGAGCACACACTGACATGTTTTTTGCCTTTTATTTAAAAAAAAAAAAAAAAGTATTTTGACATACTCAAGATTTCAGGTTTCCATAACAGTGAGATAAGATGATGACTGAAGCTCATCAGCCATTTAACACAAATAGCATTCAGGAGGCTAGCACCTAAATGAGACACTTCAGATTTTCCATATATATATATTTTAATTGTTCCTTATATAACCAGTAATTTCCAGATGTTAATTTTTAGGGAGCTATTATTTATGAACTTCATTTAGTCATCCTTTATTGGATGTGATTGACCACTGTTGTATTGTCTTTAAACAGAAGAATAATGAACAGAATGTAGGTTAAAAATAACTTTCAGACAGGTGTTTTGCAATGATTTTTTCCTAGAAAAAATTACTTAGGAGATATATAGGCTTTCAAAAGTACTTGTTGACTAATCAGTTATTTATAAACTGCTCTGCAAAGGATTTTCCATCCTGTGGCAACTTCTCATATTTCAACATGTTGAAGGATGGTTTTTTCCTCAGTTGGGATGAAAAGTTGCAACAGAGTACTTACAGATACAGTTACTGATTCCTATGACATCAAGTCCCTGACGACTTTCTTCGTTTAGCTCATTTCCTTCAATTCATCCTTTCTCTTTCTAGTGTCCTTAATTCAGTATCTTGATAAACCTCATGGTACTGACAGCCCCCCCTGTTACTGGATAGTGCAGAACGAAGCTTTGACATATGTAACCCAAGCTACAGTGATGTGTGCCAGTTTAAGGACGGCATACCTGTCTTTCCAGAGCTAGTGAGGCAGTTTGAGTCATGGTGTCTTGCCACATGGTAAATCTGAGTTCATGAATGGATTCAGATTTCCAGACTTGGCTTAGCAGCCAAGAGATGTCTCTGGAAAAGAGGTGCTGGATTAATACCTCTGCTGATCTCAAAAAAAATGTTGGTGCGTCTTCAAAACTGAGCTGCTTATTTGCCCTTTTTCATTGTAGGCAAGGTGAATTTAGATATTAGCTGGATATAAAAAAAAAGACATTCAAAATATCACCCAAGTTTTGCCTCTTATCTTTGGCAAGCTAGTTAAGAGATAACAATTCTAGTGTGGCATCATTTAGAGTGGAAGTCCATTGAAAACAGTGCTGCTGAGATTTCAGCAGTTAAACTGTGGCCTTTGAAGTATTGTAACATGCTACAGGCTCTGTTCGTCTTCAGGAATATTAACACTTCTAATTGTCATGAAACTATTACAGATCTTTCTAGGTTTGCCATCTCACAGTGGTTTTTATCTGTGTTGCTATTATTTTGTGCTTCCATAAGTATCTGTTTCAGCACTGGTTTACTAAGAAACTTGACAACTTATTCTTTAGAATCATAGAATCATTTATGTTGGAAAAGGCCCTTAAGATCATCGAGTACAACCATTATCCTAACACTGCCAAGTCCACTACTAAACCATGTCCCTAAGCGCCACATCTACACACCTTTTAAATCTCTCCAGGGATGGTGACTCAACCACTTCCCTGGGCAGCCTGTTCCAATGCTTGACAACGCTTTCGATAAAGAAAGTTTTCATAATATTCAATCTAAACCTCCTCTGGCACAACTTGAGGCCATTTCCTCTTGTCCTATCACTTGTTACTTGGGAGAAGAGACCAATCCCCACCTCACTACGATGTCCTTTCAGGTAGCTGTAGAGAGTGATAAGGTCTCCCCTCAGCCTCCTTTTCTCCAGGCTAAACAACCCCAGTTCCTTTTATGCAAATAACAGTCATATAGAAAATAAAGCTTTCTGAAGTAACATATTGGTGGTCAACTTTTGACCTCTTATCTTTCTTCATCAGAAATGCATCCAGATCTCTCAGGTCCAAGTGCAATTGTGACAGAGTGAGTGTGTGGCTGCTGCTTCTGTCAGATGGTTTTGTTTCCATCACCAGAATTTTAGAACTTCTGAATTATGAAATTTACTACATTTAACAAATATTGACTATTTGTAGAGGCCTTTTTTTTTTTTTTTGAGGGGTAGGGGGAGTGCTGTAACGGATTTATTCCTGAGCCAAGGACTCCAGATTTAGTCCCACTGCTGGCCATAACCTGGAGAAAGTGTAGTTTGGGCTGCATCCTGATCCCCAACTGACCTAGACCAAGGGGGCTATGGAAGTGCAGTTTCACTCCTCGCCTACCTGCACACCTGAGTTTCCACAGGAAACTAAAGTGTGCAGAGACATGGTACATGTCTGTCCCATCCCAACAGGCAGCCGAGATAGACCAAATCTGGGAAGTGCTCCTGGTTCCCATAACTTTGACACAGCCTTTAAGGTTCAAGTAATTTGTTATAAGAAATATCAGCAGGCTTCTGTGTTTTATCGAATGCCTTTGTAATAGTATCTAGCAATGATTTCTCTCTACTCCTTATGTATTTTCTGTAACATATGGCAGTGATCTGAGTTTGACAGGATCAGAGTCATGTTTTCCTTTAATTTTAGGAGTGCTTGTGGTACTGGCTCATTGATCAGAAGCTGAAGCTACACGTTTTTTGTTTTTTTTTTTTTTTTTTGAATCATGAATTATAAGACAAGTCTTGAAATTCTTCAAATTTAGCTCTATGCTATTTTAAGACAAATATGAAAGGGTACTGCAGAATGACTTTTAAGACTTAACTTGTTGTCCCTGCCCAGTGTGTGTGAAACCTTTCTCAAGATTAATGGTAACTGGGTGTACTTTCAGAGATGACCTAGCATATGAAGTCGTATTGAAAGCTTGTGTTACTCATAATGACCTAACTGTCATCTGAATGGAGGCCCAAAAATCATCAACAAGAGTTTTGTATTAAATATGACATAAACCAACATTTGTATTACTTCCTTAGCCACCAGCAGGACTGGGCTAACTATATTAAAAATCACGCTCAGACTGTATTCAAAAACATTGCCACTGACTGTGACACCATTGATGAATAATCCACAGATATTAGACTTATATCATTACCTGGAAATCCCAGTTGTCATGTTAAAATATATGATACATTTGTAGCTAGAAAAATTCAAAACATGATTTGAGAGCCTCATAAATGTTCAATGACTGGTATGCAAAATTATAAACAACAGCCAATTATAGAACTAAACAAGCATATTTTTTTTTCTCCAAACTTCATCATTTTAAAGGAAACATCATCCTTTCTGTAGGCGGCTTCATAATTTTGAACATTTGAGATTGTCAGTACTGAAATACAGCTAACTGGCATGGACACACCAACACAGCTTTGAATCTAGCTATAGCTAAAACCCCTTTCTGAACATGACTGACATACATCAACTGACCAGAGTGTGTAGAATATAGTCAGGAGCAAAAGGGGAGCCCTGTTTAAATTCCAGGTGGGGGAACCTAAAATACTTAGTTTATAGTTATCTGAGAATATTGGATGATCTGAATATGGTTTTTTGGTTCAAGTTCTAAAAAAGATATTCTTTTCACAGATGCTCACTTTTGGTGATAGAGCTGCTTCTTCTGAATTGTATAATGTGCTCTGTGTTT